CCTTTCTTCTGACCGCCGCCAGCGCCCTTCTTACCCTTGCCGCCCTTCTTGCCCGAGCCGGCACTCCGCTTGTCCTTCTTCATCCGGGGGTCCACCAGCACCTTGCCCTTGCCGGTCCGGACCTGCACGCCCTTCTTGGCCACCACATACTCCTTCTTGGGCCGCTGGGTCGACACCGCCTTGCGGTAGATCTTGTCGATCATCTTGGCCTTGGACTGCTCGTTGATGTCGCTCTGGTCCGCCACGATGTCCGCCTTCTGCCGCGCCTTCTCCAGCTTCTTAGCCGCCACCCGCTTCTTTCGCGCCTTGGCCTCCGCCACCTTCTTTGATGGCCGCGCGTCGATCTCCCTGAACTGCGCCTTCATGGCCGCCACCTCCTCCTTCGTGATCGGCTTCATGGGCACGGTGTGCCTCTTCTCATCCTCGGCAAACCACTTGGGCAGGCCCACGTCGTCAAACATGTACTTGTTGTAGGCGTCATCCAGGATCTGCTCCCTCTGCTTCTTCCTCAGCATCTTATGCGCATAGGCCAGCACTTCGGCCTTGGTGTCGTCGTCCATGTCCTCATCTAGATCGTCTGACTCGTCCGAGGATGAGGACGAGTCATCTGCAGCTCGGACTGGCTCTGCTGCCACCATCTCAATATCATCTTGCTGCAGGCGCTGAGCTTTAGTCGGTTTCTCCTTCTTTCCTGAGTCCAGCTGTGCTTTAGCCGGGGTTTCCTTCTTTCCTGAATCCACCTTCTTTTTCAAGTTCTTACGCGGCTTCTCTCTTTCATCCTCACTGTCACTCTTCTCATCAAGGTCAGCTCCTAATTCTGCAAACAGATCCTGACCGAACCACTGCTTTGTAGTCTGCTCTTTTGTTGGCTTCGCTGAATCAAAAGACAGTAAAAGGGGGTTTGCCTCTTGATCTTCCTCTTCCTCAGAACCTTGGTCCATGTCAACATCGCTACCATCATCTTCACCTCCCTATCAAGTTGAAACATAATAGCATATATTATCATCAAGTTGAGTCCATTGGCTACTGTATAAAAAAACGGGTTTCAAAGGCGAGGACAAAATTCATGTGGATTAATGTCATTTATTACCTCTAACAGATCTGTATCAGCATCAGTATTGATTCTCTTGGCACGTTTGCGTTCTTGTTTTACTTCTCCACCTTTCTTTGTCACAAAACGTTCGTAAGCTTCATCAAGCATCTCCTCAAGTTGAGCATCATACCTGATTAGAAAGATGTTGTGTTATGAGTCTCTGGAATTTTTACAGTAAATTTTGCAAGTGATGAATTTATACTCCCTCCGTCCGAAAATACTTGTCATCAAAATGGATAAAAAGAGATGTATCTAGAACTAAAATACATCTAGATACATCCCCTTTTCTCCATTTTGATGACAAGTATTTCCGGGCGGAGGGAGTATGACCAAACTATAATATTACCCCCTCTGATTCATAGTACTTGTCGCTCAAATGGATGTATCTAGCACTGAAATACGTCTAAATCATCCGACTGAGCGACAAGTAATATGGATGATAGGGAGTATTATTTTTGGTGCGGATGTCTGAAAATTTACCTCTGTTGTTCTTCATCAGAATCCATTTCCTCATCAGAGTCTTCATGAGTTTGAGTCTCTTCATTCTCACTGTCTCCAGAGCCATCTTCCGCATTATACTCTGCTGACTCAACAGCCTGAAGATCTTTCCCACCCTATAGACAAAGTATATATCACTGAGTTCGCAAGCACGGACAACTTGAACACGTAAAAGCTAAAATAAGACATCAATCTGGGACAGTAACTTTAGAGAAATTACATCAGAACCAAAATCACTTTTCCACATGTGCTCGCCGAATGATAATAAGGGCTAGATGACTTAGAAGAAAAACTCTTCTGAGAGAAAGAATGATGAACTTTCTGTGGTGTACAAGGCAAAGTAAGACAGACAGGAATACAAAAACAGCAGGATACCTTGATAGCCTTAATAGAGAACAAGTCAGGATCACCATATCCCTCTTCTGTAGCATCAATTTGCATTCCTGTTGCCTTGCGTGCTTTATCCTGGAATGAAGAGACTGATATATCAGCACATAATTCAAATCAACGCCACGTGCAGCAAACGAGGCTTTTCATATTTCATAATGTAAATACCTTTGCACGACGTCTTGATTGACGCTTCTTATCTCTTCTTTTTTTCCTATCAATGAAACTCGTCAGGTCTTCCATTTCCTGTAGAAGTTGGTCATCATCGTTGACCTTGGTCTCCACCACAGTACCATCAGCCTTAGGTGTCACTTGGGAAGATGATGACAATGCTTTCCTTATGCGTATGCGCCACCTAACATAATATATATCAGTTTCATCAGATGAAAAGGCACCTCTCCACATGACACACTGATAGTAATAGACATGCTTGGACAATCATAATCTAGAAATAAACTTGATGAGACAATATAATAGGAAAAGATACTTACTTCAAGATATGCTTAAAGCTGTTTTTATCCAGCACACGTAAATCGTCACAAAGATTTTTTATCTGGCACACAACAAAACATAGAATCAGTCAGCATTATAACTAAGATTGAATACAAGTTAGGCAGCAGGAATGCAGAGCAAAGGCATTACTCCATTACCTCATCTGTAGTAAACTCATGATTCTTGATAGGCACAGATGCTTCATCATCAAATGAAATTTCTGTAACAGAACCAAGAAATTCCAGTGGTGTCTGAGCATCAGACCATATAAAATCTGATGCCTGACCAACTTTCCTCAATACTGTGACTCCATCATCGTACCTGAATGAATCACATACAACAGAAATTAGAAATGTGGATCTCCCACCAGAGTGGATTATATAATTCAAAGTTTGAAAGTACAATACAAAGGACCAGATGTTCAGATAATTTCAATTCTTTACCATTAACCACTTAATAAAATAGCATAAAAGAGGAATGTTATCAGGGTCAAATTTCAAATGGCTAGCTGCTTATTTGACCCTACAAACAGAACTAGCAAAAAACAGGCATCAATTAGTTTCTAGAAATCACACTGTGGCTGACTGCTACCAAGATATGCAGAGAAATGTTTTCACACATGTGATGCACCACTGCATAATATGTTGTTACCCTTAGTGTGAGAAAGGGAGAAGGCATGCCAGATCTGAACATAAGTTCACTGTGCTGTTGTCTTGTTTACACTAGCAAATGCACCAATATAGCCAGTCACTGTATGAAAAGTTCCATATTGAAGACGATGTAATAAATTCATGGGTTTTAACCAATATGTGGTAAAATTATAGATCTAGCAAAGCATGATGTTCTCTAAATCTTATATCGTTACACCAGCCATTCTATGAGGCACTGAAATACAAATAAACTATTGTAGCATGACCCTCATTACCGACGCATTTGTTGAGTGGTAGAAAAGCAGTACTGCAAGAAAAATGACCGTGCAAACTCATTTGCCGACATACGAAGGCATACTTACCCTTCACGCTGTCTTTTGTCCTTTTTATTAGTACCAAGTACATCCCTAGGCTGCAGAAACAAAAATGTAACATTAAAGGGATGCTAACACATATAAAAAAGAGAAATCGATTGAGTAACTCTGACAAATGTTTCAGCCTACCATCTTCTTCTCAGGTTCGACGTTGAACAGGTGCTTTATATCAAGAAGTTCTGGAGCAATCTTTGCAGGCGCTTTATATTTGAGACAGATAATGTAAATTTCAGCGGACGTGCCACGACTCGCACTAGGTTTGGTCACCTCAACCTTCTCAAACAGCTGAAATGCAAATGGGTTTGTTTCATGTGTCAACACACTAGTACGAAATACATAAGTAACAACACAAGCACTTGAAGAACCTGCGTTCAATACACACCTGCTTAAGACAGAACATGATAGCATTGTAATCCTGGGACCTGAAGACCTGTTGAAGAAGGAAAAGTACAGGTGAGTTTGATATGCGCACTTCACATAGGGGATCAACAATCGCGGTGCAAGTCCTCTGTCAAACCTTGGTGATGAAGGCGCCCTTGGGGGCGAGGAACATGGTGGCGAGGCGGACGGCGTCGATGACGAGGGCGGACTGGGTGGTGGCCTCCTGCGCCCAGGCGCCGCCGACGTTGGGCGAGCCGTCGTGGAGGACGACGTCGAAGGCGGCGACGCCCTTGGAGTCCATGAGCTTGCGCACGGCGGAGCGGCACTTGGAGGTGGTGATGTCCTCGGTGAGGGAGTGGGCGCCGCGGATGGGGCGGATGGGCACGAGGTCGACGCCGACGACGAAGGCGCCCACGGGCGCGTGGTTGACGGCCACCTGCACCCACCCGCCGGGCGCCGCGCAGAGGTCGAGCACGGCCCGCGCCGTCGGCAGGAACCGGAACCGCGCGTCGAGCTGTAATAGCTTGAAGGCCGCTCGGCTCCGGTACCCCTGCTCCTTGGCGAGGTGGTAGTACTTGTCCTGCCTCTGCTTCCCCTTCGCCTTGCCCATCGCCGCCGCGCGCCGCCGCCGCCGGCGAGCCTGAGGAGGAGGGGGAGGGAGGGAGGGGATGGGGCTAGGGTTTTTGCGGGGGGTTGGGTTCTGCTCGGCCGCCTCGCTGCCTCGGCCGTTTTGTCGGGTTCACGGCGACGGTTGAGCCGCGACGGCCCGATGGGCCTGTGTATGGGCCTCTTTGGGTGTGGGCGTGGAATGGGCCTCTACTTATCTGGGCCTGGGCTGCGAGGGGAAATCAAAACTCTCTGCTCTGCGTCTCTCTTATCCCCTCGTCCTCCGGTGTCACTTCCAATTCACTTCCTCTGCTCTGCGCAATGGAGCTAGGCCTCGCGCTCCGGCTAGCCGCGCCGCCGGCGCGCCTCCCCCGCCGCCGGTATTCAACACCGCCGTGCGCGCCAGGACGGAGCGGTATCTGCGCTGGGAGGCGCGAGAGTAGGGGGGCGGGGGCTGTGTCGACGAGTGGGGGTGTGAGCTATGCGGTGGTTGAAGATGAGGAGGGGGAGGAGGAGGAGATGGCGAGGCCGCGGCTGGAGCTCATCGAGAAGCCGGACCGGAGCCTGGCGCTGCTGGACGAGTACGAGTCGGAGGAGCTGGGGGCGGCGCTCTGCGCCAACCACCGCAGCGGTGAGCCTTCTCCTTCTCTCTGCGCTTTCCTTTGTTTGTACTTAGCTGGATTTCATTCAGCACTCCCTGACCAAGTAGATTATTTCAGTGTTCAGTATTTATGATGCGTCAAATGCGCCCGGTAGCATTTTTGGTTTCAGTAAAATTCAGGAACTTGTCATTGTGCAGCATAAATAAATGAGTTAAGTGGGGGGGAAAAGTGCTTCCTGCCAAACATTTTTTTACAAGATTCCGGGAGAATTCAGAGGAAACAGCTTATTTGGTTTGTAATTTCTAAGTGACAATTGCCATGTTATAATATTGTGAGTCTGTGCTGTGTGTCTCCACAGGTTATGTTGCTGTGTTGGGGAAGCCGAATGTCGGCAAGAGCACCCTGATAAACCAAATTGTGGGTCAGAAGCTTTCGATCGTAACGGACAAGCCACAGACCACACGTCACCGCATTCTTGGTATATGTTCGGAACCAGAATACCAGGTACAACCTTCTAGTCTCCAAAGCACCTGTAGAGTTCGGTTCAAATGCGGTATAAACCAATGTGTCTGTCCACAGAGGATATCATGACGATTTCTGAATGCTGATCCGAGTTATCATTTAGTTTGCAGATAATACTTTATGACACGCCAGGCGTCATTAAGAAGGAAATGCACAAGCTAGACTCGATGATGATGAAGAATGTCCAGAGCGCTATTGGCAATGCGGACTGTGTGATTGTCGTCGCTGATGCTTCCAAACTGCCCGAAAAGGTAACTGTCGGCAAAAATAAAGAACCAGGTCAATGTCTTGAGTCTACCTTGCTTGACATTCCCTCTCTGGTTTTAGATAGATGATATGCTGGAAGCGGGTGTGGGAAACAAAGATACCAAGGTCCCTGTTGTGTTGGTACTCAACAAGAAAGATATGATAAAACCCGGAGAAATCGCAAAGAAACTCGAGGTATAAAACTGAACAATATAGAAGTGATGGTTTTTGTGATTTCCTCTGTATACGATGGTATTTATTTCTTGACAACTCTTTTCACAGTGGTACCAAAAATTCACTGATGTTGACGATGTTATACCTATAAGTGCTAAATTTGGTCATGGAGTGGTTGATATCAAGGAGTGGATATTGTCAAAGCTTCCACTGGGTCCTGCCTACTACCCCAAGGTATCATTATGGAAGATGCAAAATTTTCTGAAGCAGTTAGTACTATGGATGGACAGCCATTTTCTTTATCATGTAGATCTAGCAAATCAAGTAGAAATGTGCAATGCAATTTAGTAACATGCACAAGTTATTTATTTATTTTCCTTGGCCTTAATCTGCAAGAATCAACACCTTTTGATAGTACAAAATAATCAGCGGTTCTGCCACTTTGGTTAAGAATGTCTGCCTGATTGCTGATGTGCTCATGCCAAATTTGAATCCTGCAATTGTTGTTTTGATCAGTCTTTCTTTTACTGAGATGTACTAATCAATCTATCGTGTAGGCGATGTGGTAGTTTTACATTTTTTTTCTTCATATTTTATTTTGCACACTGAATAATGTGTTAAGCTATGGTTAACTGTTCTGTGAGTTCAATTGCTTCCATCAGTTGCAAACCAATACCACATTATCTTATAAGATGATCCTAGTATTGAGAATCTTACCATCATTGTAACACAGTTCTGATTCCCGAGACAGCTTTATATAAGCTGACTCTGTGAACTCGGAGGCATGATAATTTTAATCAGCACGTTTGACTAACTACTACTCCCTCCGTCCCAAAATAATTGTCTCAACTTTGTACTAACTGTAGTGCAAAGTTGTACTAAGGTTGAGACACTTATTTTGGGATGGAGGGAGTATTATAAATCAGTTGTGAAGAAATATTCTTCCAAATAGAGGATATGGGTTTTCATGACTTCTCTACTTTTTTTTTGACCTGTTACTGTAGAGTAATCATCCCACAGCTTTAAACTTTATTCCATCACACAACTTCTCTACTTGAAGTCATTATGATGCTAAAATCATAGTCTGGAGCCTTTGTTGGCTAGATATTGTTTTTACAGTTTTTTGGCATATCTGTTAAAGGTAGTTTCATGTTTGTTCATTAGATGGTCTATTACTGCATTCCAGGTGTTCATTTCGATGTTTGGCTACAGGGAGCAAGTCCTGAGATTATAAAACACTAAATATGTTGTGCATGTTCTTTGTTCCAGGACATAGCTAGTGAACATCCCGAGAGATTTTTTGTGGGGGAAATAGTGAGGGAAAAGATTTTTCTTCAATATAGGCAGGAAATTCCATACGCATGCCAGGTATATCTTCTGGTGATTTCCTCAGTTTAGTGTATAAGCTTATCCGTTTTGCTAGCCTGTTTGTGTGATGTAATTTCTGTTTATGATAGGTTAATGTTACAAGTTACAAAAGCAGGCCTAGTGCCAAGGATTTTATTCAAGTTGAGATACTTGTTGAGAGGGAATCACAAAGAAGCATTATACTTGGGAAGGTAAAGCAGATCAAAAAAAATCATTCATGTGCAGTCTTGAATATTTCAGGATTACAAATTCAGTTAAGCATAACAACAAATTGAGGGATTTTGCACAAACTACCTTCTGGGAATTTCGTGAATTACTAAATGTATGTGTTGTTCTACAAAGTTTTGAATAGATGAAACAGAAGTAAGGCTGATCTTATTGTTGGAAAAGGAATTGGGTCATAAATAAGAAGATATATATATATGGAATCAAACAGTTCCTAGCTTGAATATTTTAACGAGCAAAACTATCATCCGCTATATTTCTCAAACGCAGGATGGGAAAGCTATAAAGACGTTGGCAACAGCATCAAGGCTTGACATTGAAGATTTCCTTCAAAAGAAGGTTTATCTTGAGGTCATAACTTCTTCCTTGTTCTGTCGCATGATCACCCCCTCTGCTATAGTTGTAGAGCAGTTTCTAATCACTACATACTATTGTCTTGAACAGATAGATGTGAAGGTGAAGGAAAACTGGCGGCAAGATGAACGGCTTTTGAAACGTTACGGCTATGGTGGGGAGATTCAAGCGCTATAAATACAAGCATGGCACATAGCTTATCAGGTCGTGGGAGTAGGAAATAGCCCGGATTTTTTACTTTTCTTTTCTTCTTCCCCTGTTGAGTTGAGGTATTTAGGTGCTGAAATGCAGGTTGAATTAGATCAGTTATTAGTCAGGAACTCTTACCAAATTTTGATGTAGACATCTGGTGTACTATGGAATAGCTGTTTCTACATCCAAATCATATTTCAGCTCTGTCCCTGTAGATAGCCTGCAGTGTTGCTTCAATCCTCTGTTTGTCTGCTGAAGTTGCTTTACACTTCATGGAGCCAAACCCCCAGGTATCCGCCTCGCCTTTTCAGGCTGTTTGGTTCCATGAATTTGTCTGCCCGTGTTCATCTGCGTCGAAATGTGAAATGTGAACGGACGCTTTGCAAAATTCAGGCCAGGTCTGTGGGATCACAGGAGCAGAGTTCTGAGGTTAATTTCATCTTCGAGATAATCATCAGTAAAAACAGTTTATCTTGATTGAATAGCATCTTGATTTGAAGGTCTGAACTAAAGCCACCTCATATATTCTCATCAATCTACCACAAAATTTTGTTACCCCAAAGCTGCTGCTGCCGCTGCTGCTACACCTACACAAAATGAACTAATAAAAGGAGCAGATGCCCAAGCAAAAAATTCCCATCTCCTCCGATTCCGGCAGGGTGGCGGCCGGAGGGGAGATCGGCGGTGTGCAAAACTAACCAAAAGAGAATGCCAAGACTAAACCCTGATCAAAATTTGACTGAACCAAGCAAAAAGAAGCAAAATTGGAAGGGAGCAAACGACCAAGGGCTTCTTGATCAAGCTAGCCGGTCGTGTCGTCTCTACTGCAGCTATCGCCGCCGCTGCTCACCAGCGGCTGCACCGTGCCGCTGCTCCCGCCGGCGGCCGTGGCGCCACCTCCTGCGCTGCCGCTGCCGCTGCTGCTGCCGATGTAGGAGGTGAGCGCGGCCGCGAGCACGGCGGTGAAGTTGGGGTCGGACGCGATGACGGCCGTGGCCGCGTTCACCGTGTCGGCCAGCTGCGCGCCGCCGTCCCCGTTGGTGCCGGCCACGGCCTGCACGGCGGAGAGCTTGGACTGGTCGTACAGCTTCTGCCCGAACAGCTGCGGCAGCGACACCGGCCGCGCCGCCTCGGCCAGCGCCGCCTGGAGCTGCGCGGGCTCCGGCGCGCGCGGCGGCGACGCGCCCTGCCCCGGCGTCGTCTGCGTGAGGTCGAGCGTGACGGTCGGGAACGGCGCCGACGCCGAGATGGTGGCCACGCTGGAGGAGCAGGGCAGCACGGCGCGAGCCAGGAAGTTGGACCCGCCCGCCATGAGCCCGTCGGCGCTGGGCATGGACCCGGACAGCAGCATGGAGGCCGCGGCTGCCGTGGTGGACGCCATCGCCATGGCCGCCGGCGGCAGCGGGTGGTTGTGGTTGCCCTCGTACGTGGTGATGAGCACCGTCCGGTCCTCGGCGCAGCGCTGCACCTGCTTCCGCACCGGGCAGCCGGCGGCCATGGTGCACCGGTAGTAGGCGCGCGGGCACGGGTTGCCCTTGGCCATCTTCTGCCCGTACTTGCGCCACTGGCATCCGTCGCTGATCTGCAACACCGTCGGCAGAAACATTTAATTATACACAAGCCATAACATGTCATGCTTCATGGATGACGACGAGGACGAGGAGCGCACGTACCATGGCGGCTTCGGAGCGGGCGCGCACGGAGACGCGGGCCTTACGCATGGTGGCAGCGGCGGCGGCAGCCTCAGGCGGGGGAGGCTCGGGTCCCTTGGCAGCAGGGAGGAACTTGGGCACCTTGCTAGGCAGCCAGCCCTGCATGGCCTCCGGGCTGCCGCCCCTCTCGTGGTGACCGTGGTGCTCGAACGACGGCAGCGGCATGAGCTCCGCCTTGCCCGCGCCGACGATGCCATGGCATCCGGCGCAGTCCATGGCCGCGTCGGGGCCGACGGCGAGGAGGGGGTTGCTGCTCGGCGACGCGTCGGTGCCGCGGGCGGGGCGGGGCTCGTCGGGCGACGACGAGGAGCCGAGGCTCATGAACTGCCTCGGCACCAGCTGGCTGTGGTTCCCTGCGTCGAGGAGGAGCTGCTGCTCCCTCTTCTCCGGTTCGAACTGGTGGGCGTGGCCGTGGCCATGGCTGCTCCTGTGCTGCTGCTGCTGCTGCTGCATGAGCGCGATCTGCATGTGGAGGGAGCTGCACTTGGTGTTGGCGTTGGCGAGCATGGTCTTGAGCCGCTTGTTCTCCTCGTTCACCCGCGCCAGCTCCGATTTTGCGGCCGCTAACTGGTCAAAGCCATAGGCACAGAAGACAGTCAAAAAAGTCGTCTAAAAATAAAAGCCAAACAGGTCAACGTTTTTTTTGCTTCCTCTATATTTAAGTGCCTCTATACTTTTTTTAATTAAAGAAAAAGCAAGTCCATTTAGGCATTAGAAAAAAAATCTTAAACGGCTTCGGCTTAGTCAACCTGACTATTTTTCTGTGTGGCTAACGCATTTTTTGTCAACTTATTATGGGTCACAATATAATTGCGATCTAGTTCATATATTTTAAGAGAAAAATGTAGGGTTTTTGGCTCGTTTTCATCTGTTATAGACGATCTTCTGGATTTGAATTTCATTTCATGTTTTGTAGGATCTTAGTTGATTTCCTGTTGGAGAAAAAAAGGATCTTAGTTGATTTGAAAATGTGGGACTTAATTAGGTATACCAAGCGCACCGGGGAGATTAATTACCTCGGCCTTGGCCTCCCTGTGGTCCTCGTCGTTGGAGGAGACGCCGTCGTCGACGGTGGACTCCTCGCTGCCGCTGTTCCTCCTCCGGCCCCCGACGTGCAGCCCCATCTGCAGATCCATCAAGAACAACACGATCCATCGCACATGGATCCAGAAACAGACGTTAGGTCAATCAGATTTAGGGAAATACGTTTCGATCCACACGACGCATCGGCGGATCACACGTACGTCGATGGTGAGGTCGGGCTTCATGCCGAGATCGCCGTCCGCCGCGCCGGCGGCGGCATGGTCCTTCTTGTCCCGCTTCTCCTTCCTCATCTCCGTCTCGAAGAAGTCCATCTCGCCGACCACCACCCGGCGCTCCCCGTCGCCGTCGTTCGCCCCGTAGCCCAGCCCCACCGCCTCCGAGGGCAGCTCCCTGCCGCAGCCGAGGGCGGCGTTCTTGCGCTTGAGGCCGGCGGCGACGAAGGACGACTGATCC